AGAGAGAGAGAGAGAGAGAGGGAGAGAAATATAAGGAGTAATGCCGATGTTGCTTTCCTCCTCTTCGTTTGAAAGCGTTGCAGGACTTTCAAATCCGCCTGGGCGTGCACGCCTGCTTTTTGAACTCTACCACGGCGGAGACGCCGCGGGCGGGCTGCGCGCAGGCGGAGCGGGGGCTGCGCGCAGGCGGAGCGGGGGCTGCGCGCAGGCGGAGCGGGGGCGGGCGGAGCGCAGCGGCGGCGCTTCAGCACCACGGAGAGCTCCGGCGGGCCGCGGCGGGCGGCGCGGAGCGAGGGGAGGCTGTCTGTCTGCCCAACTCTCCCTCTGTCCGTCTGCGGCTGCACAGAAGCCTGTAATATGTTAATAGCCGTAGGGTATGCCCGAGGTACCATCTCAAGCTGCTTCGCACACCATATGTCAGGCCGTTAGCCACATGGATCTATTAATCAAAGGGGAGAGAGAAGAGGGGAAAGGTAGGGGAGGAGGGGGGGAAGGGAGCTTTTCATACCCCACCCTGTGTTGCTGTACACTTTCTCCTTTCATTACTCTCAGATATAAAGACCCGGAGTACCTCGAATAGGCAGCTGTAATTCTCTTTTGATCTGCTCTTTTACAGCCTCGGTGTAACCAGCTCGGGTTAGTGGATAGCGATATTTGAGGTAGGAAGGGGGAATGTGTCGCGTTTCCCCCGGCAAAGGATTTGGTATTAAAGTGCTGCTCAAGTTCTGTGACAAAGGGGGTCTCTGTCCGGCCCTTCAGCCATCTCCTTGCGGAGGGTGTGTCTGAGGAGAAGGCTTTTCTAGCGAATCAAGCATCGTCTCCCCCGCAGGCAGCCAGAGCTCTGGCCATCCTCACCACTTTTATATCTTCCCTATTGCCTACTGCCTCATATAATTTCTTCAAGGAAGACTTGTCCCACGTGAGATCCACAAAAGGATTGGATCCACAAAATTACCGGGAGAAGGAGAAGCAGCAGTCTATATAGGAGAGTGCTGTAAAAGCTCATGTGTTCGTGAATTTTTCATGCAGCCCTCAAAGCCCCCCCACAAAATTGTGCCTTTCAGGCTCAGCGCCCGAGAAGATGCATGGGCTCTCAGGTCTGGTTTCTACTTTTGTTTGGAAGACAGGGTTTTGAGGAAACTTTCTCTTCAGGGTTAGAGTGAACATGCTCTCACGGGCTCCTTCTGGACCTCGTTTGCCAGTCCATAGGTGATGCGTTGGGGCACAGCCCCGGCAATTGACACTCCCGACCTAATTCCGAGGCCACCGGATTATTTAAATTTTTTTTTCCTTTCACGATGGCCGAGAGGGAGAATGAAAGAGACTGACCTTTCATTCAGATACCTGCTGTATAAAGTTTTGAATTTCTAGATTGTTATAAAAGCAGCAGCTCAGGAAAGCGGCTCAGGAAAGTTACTGAGTGGTAGAGGAGGGGAGGGCAGAATCATTTCAGTGTGCCAGGATCCTGCAGCAGGGACCGTGCGGGTGGATGGGGCAGGTTCCCTACCCTTGATCTCTAGGTCAAGTGACACGGATGTGTGTGATGCAAAGGATGGGAAAAACAACCGAGAAAGAGGAAGGGATGCAGGCTACAGCTAACGCAAGGGTAAGCTCTGTTGTTTTGCAGGTTTACATAAAAAGCACGAGATCCCCTAGCTGGTTGAAATCCCCTCTGTTGGTACAGAGCATCACAGAGATGCAAGTTAGAGGCAAGAAGCGCTTGAGACGATTTGTGCAATTGCAGACACAGTATAGTAACTCAATTGATACGTATTAAATGTTCAGTGCATAGCTTATGTTGAAGTCAGTGTTTAAGACTTACTTTCGACTTATTTTCTAACATTTTCCCTCTTTCTTTGGCCGAAAAAATAATTAGTGCATCTGTGCTTAGATCTAAAGCTGGCACTCATCTCGCAGAACCTTTGCTTTAATATAGATTGCATTAAACCTGCAAAAAAAAAGAGTGCCTTTCAAAGCAATACTTTACATAAAGACAGAGGTAATGCATGGGCTGAGTGTCAGTTGATTCTGCATTTCCACCTAGCAAAGACTCTTATTACCTTTAAATTTTGGTGCACACACCACCCATCATTTTCTTCCTCTATTTAAAAGGTAACCCATATATCTGTCGTTTTAGGTTTCCAAAGACTCGTAACTTAATTCCTTCAGGCTATTCATCAGCACAGTAATTAAACTAGCAAATGGATGTAAATAAAGTGAAATTGGTTTCATGACAGATGAGCCAAAGAGGCCTCTGACATGAAACAAGCCAGGACAATAATTATTTCTGCACTGGGCTATATGAGGAACTCCATCTAGATTTATTAGGTGCTGCAAGTTATTTGCTGGGAGAAGGCAAGACAGGAGGACTCACTTTAATTTGACGGGATTTTTTTTTCCCTTTTTGCATCCTAAGTAGGTTAGAGATATAAAAATCTGGAATTAACTTTGGCAATACTCTGAGGTGCCTCTACCCAATGTAAAAACACGGCAGGGAAAATAGGTAGTACAGGAAAGGCTTATTAAACAATTTCTTCCCAAATGCTTAATAGGAGAAAATCTGCTTCAAAACACTCCTCTCAAACTATCCCCTGTTAATAAAAAAACAATCCAGACCACAGTGACAGCCTGCGAGTGCTTCTCTTTTCTACAAATATGCATAAGAAACAGTAGAGACAATAGAAAGAAGGCAGATTTGGAGAGCTTGGGAATTCTGAAGAGTTTCTCTTAAAAAATAAATAAATTATAATCTCGGCTAAATGGTGTCTGTTAAGATCACCCCTCTCCCTCTTCTCTGCCAAGGAGAAGTTTATTGCTGCAGAGGAGAGAAAAGGGCTGTGAAAGGGAGGGTATGGATTCTGCAAGGCTCAACTGTAATTGGAGCCATCAGGTCCAGCTTGGAGTGGAAGTAATATACAGAATAAATAAAAAAAGGGCTCTCACAGCAGGTGCAGATTAGTCCCTTTTCCCCTGAAAAGATTAGAAACTGACTGCTTTATGCTTAAACGTACTCTCAATTATTTAAGCGCCCCTTCGTGATTAGCAAGTAAAAGTAACGCTCCAAAGCGCTGAAGAAATGAAGCAAGGCTAACACCGCTTTCGCCCAGCTCACGCAGGCTTTCCAGCACACGGCTTGCTCCCTGCCGGCTGGCAGCGCTCAGACCGGGGAACTCGCTTCAGATGCACACACCTGTAGGGTGGGGAGGCGGGAGGGGGGGAAGGAGAGAGGGAGGGGAAAAGGAGGGAGGAAGGAGAGAGGGCAGATTCAGCCTGGTAAAAAATCCGCTATCAAAGCAGAGCAGGCTACAGCCCAACCTGGTTTCAGAGGCGATTTGGATCCGTGGACAGATTTTCACAAGAATGCTGAGCCCTCAACGTGTTTTCCACTGGGAAGGGGGGAAAAAATAAACCCAATCTCACAGCAAAATCCCAAACACAACCCTTCCCCCCCAACCCCCTCCCCAGGCATTCTCTTTGAATGGGCTGGAAATGAGCCGCGGACGCCTGTGTTTGCATACGGCAGTTTGATCAGGGTTCAATCTTTCTGCAATCAAATCAGAGGCGTATTCCTCCCTTCCTCATGGACGGGAATATGATACCGCAAAGCCGAGGAGAGATCCTAAAGGGACTGAAATCCCCTTATGTCTGAAGCTGTCCCTTTTAACACACACCAGACTAATTATTTAAAAGTTCTTGTAAAATTAGAAGACATAGCCCAGTCCTTTAATTAGAATACACTGTGAATAGGGATAGCATATGGAGGAGAATGTCAAGAAGAGGGTGCCAGGGGCAGATCCTAGGAAATCTGTATTCATTTCTGCCTCCTATTTGTTCAGTAATCTCTACCATCATAACTAAATCTTGGAGCACTGATGTAGTTCGAGTTGTTGTTGACTCAACGTCAAAATTCAATCACTGGGGGTTTTGCATCAGCCGGGCCACTTATTTGTCTAATAAATCCGTCATTTTGTAAGAAAAATATTTGAGCAGCCGTACTTGACCTCTTGGTATCCACAAGCCACATTTATTTCTACCAGTTTACAAATGCAAAGTGGAGATGATCATCTTAATGCCTCGAGGTACTGTGTTGATTTCTGATTGGATTTTAGATGGAAATGTCTATTTTAAATACCCCGTGATTAAATTGTACATATAATAGAATTCTTCTAACCAAATCGTGATTTGCGAACCCCGAATTTATTTTAAAGGAAAAATTATTTAAGTAAAGATTGTTTCTTAAATGATTTGTGACACCCCCCGCGGTAAGATTTGATTATAGCCGGACATCTTTCTCACTGGAAAACTTGTTTTGACCCTGGAGCGTTTGTATGTGATGGAAAGGTGGCAGACGGGGTGAGGTGGAAGTACTCCCGTTTGAGAGTTCTGCCTGGCCCATGCCATCCCGCGCTGGATGATTTGCTGCCTGTTTATATGCATATTTCTTCCCAGAAGGGGGTCGCGCTGCACAAGTTTAATTGTAACTGGGGGGAAATAAC